AAATGTCGTGTGAATTGGGATTTGAGTTCCTGACTTCTCTCTCTCTCATTCTCTGACCTCTGACAGCTTGCATGAATCCCCTGATTTTCCTTAACTTTAAATGTTAGTAACAGTTGTTAGTAGTTACAATTAGTAAAGTGTTAAGTACTTTCTCTCAATTTAGGGCCACGGTACCCATCTGCGCAGACAGCTTCGGCTGTGTGTGTCCTAAGTCCTATGGCAATGCTACTTAACCTCACGCAGAAACACACTCATAAACCGCAAGTCCCTACCTGAAAACACTTCTTTGCAGTCGCAAATCTTGGTCTGTTGAGTCAGGCCCCCAAAGAAATCGTAGACCTCTCTCTACTCCTGGGATCTGGGGGTTGGCTGTGGTTTCAACTGCCTTGTGGGAAAACGCAGACCTCTGCCAGCTCAATCTGTGTCCTGGACAGTGTCCAAATGGGTCACTGCATCACACTCGGGTCCCAGGAACGTTTAATATCCCTGAATTACCTGCGCCGTTTTTCTTGTCTGTTAAAAATACTTAAAGCAAAAAACTTTTGCGGAGAGTGGATGAAGAGATCGGAACAATTAGGGGGTGGGGAGTTCAAGCAGCAGTTGCGATAAGGTTTGCCGAGTTTCCCGATTGGCTTGTCCTAACCCATTTTGTTTCTGGAGACCCTGTGTTTGAAGGATTTCAGTCAGCCTCCTCTGCTTCTGCTCATTTGTCTGATACCATCGCCTGTTACCATGGGGATATTTACAGCCAAAGGAAGAAGATGATTCTGTAAGGACTGAACTGCTTTAGCTGATCTCTTTAAAAAGACATTTCAAGCAAGCACGATACTGAGTATTTTGAGCAGAGTTTTCCCTCCCTATACAGTATCAGTACTGAAGTCTACTCTGGGGCAAGGTAAAACTTGGAGAGTGTTTGGAAATGTTTTCTACTTTCAACTTAATTCACCCTAAGCAAAGTTCTTGTTGTTATTTTAGAGAAAGACAGTACAAACCCAAACAGGATGCTTTAACCCGTGTTTTGTGTGTATGTAGAGATGGATGGCAGTCTTATTACATAAAGATTATGCTTTTCTTGTGCGTAATAGGCGGAGAATTCTGTCTGCTGTAGTGCTAAGTATGGATTAATCAGTGGAGCTTCAGTTCACTGCATCTCTTTAACTGAAACGAGAAGCCTTGGTCTAAACCCATGACAGTATATAGGATGTTAGAGAATTGTTCTTTCCATCCTGAACGTTCTGTTCATAAGCAGAAGCAACACTGGGAGCTGGTTGTTTGTCCTCTCTTTATTTACCAGTGTGCAGCAGGATGTTTGACCTGGATGGACAGGCAAGTATTCTGAACAATCCACAGTCCACTTCAAAGTATTTCGGATTTTTGTGAGCAAAACCTGTTCTTCAGCTAAAGCTGTTCTTACTCTGACACATTACTTGTCTTTTAACTTACAGGTTTGTGAAAAATGTGCACCTTTATATAGTTACTTTGTCTCCATATCCTTCATTTGCATTGAAATCCAGGAATTTTACGGGGTCCTAGTCTTGTTTGAGACACACATATATTTATACACATACAAATACATACCTGGGTATAACACAGACTGGCTAAACACAAGGTCAAAGTTATTTTTGGTGTCAAAAAGAAATTTCAAGAGAAACTTCTGTTTAAAGTCAGTGGGGAAAAAAATAATTTATTTTTCCTGTATGAGTCGGGTGGCATGTATGTGCTGATGGTGTGCTCTTCCCTGCCTTGTAGATACCTTGGTACTCCTGCTCATCAGTGCTGAAAGGTGGCCCATTTCTTTTTTTACGTCCTGTAGTCGGCCGCCTTCCTGTTTAATGAAGGAAAGCAACGAGGGGTTAACACCTTGTGAGCACAGGCTGTGAGTATTTGGAATTTGGCTGTGATGGGAGATTTCTGCTGTAAATGAGAGTTTTCAGCTGTCTAGGCTGTTCTTCCAGTTCCCATAAGGCCAGCAGAGGTGGCTTTTAAAATGCAGATTCCTCCTAGAGGTTCCCCCCCCCTTTCTAAATGTAGTGATTTATGTTTTGTCAGCACTCCTCTCACTTTTTGGACTTTCTGGGAAAGGCCGTATTGATCAAAGAGCAGAATCTATCGAGGTGTGTTTATAAGATCTTGTTCTTGATGCTGTGAAGTTGACGTTACGTCCTGTGTGGGCAGATCTTTGCCAAGACCTTCCTGAGGTTTCCATCTCCCATCTCAGCCCTCTGCAGATCCTCTCCGTAAGGCACAGAGCACTTTGCTTCCAGTTTGCAGTCTGTTCTCTGTCACACAAGTCACTCTAGATTTTGTGTCTGGTTTCTGTGGTTTGTGTCTTGCTCAAGACCGTAACGTTCATGAACATTCTGCCTCCTGTCGGGCCTCGGCATGTCTTTCGAATAGGTTTATGTCAATAAAATCTGGTGATTAAAGAGCAGTGCCTTTTCTCCCCCTGCACTGCTGGTGTCTTAGCCCCAAAAATTCTCTTGCTTTTTGGCTTCCTTCACCTGCCTGTAAGGCTCAGGGCACAAGTCATGCAGCTAACGCCATCAGGCTGCCTGTGGTGGGGAAGAGCATTCTGCCCTGGGCTTCCCGATTGCTGGATCTGACTCTGCAAAGATCAGTGATCCTAGCGAGGCTTCCCCAGTGCAGCAACCTAATGAATTTGTTGCTAGGCAGATTATCCAGCTTCAACTTCTATTTCTTATACATGTAGGAGCTTTGGAGAATAAAGACAAACACGAATGCTTGTACCAGCACAGGAGCTGTGCAAAGAACAGGGGAATAAAAAAGTCAGCAGAGTATAGGGAGGGTGTGGGACAGCCTCCTCTTAGGGAAGAGAAAAAATTAATAAAGGAGAAAGGAGGGAAGTGCTAGCTCTAGTTGTTGTTAGACTCTTCTTTAAATTCTGTTTGGTGTGAGCACTGCAGAACGCCAGCTGAGGTCTGTGCTCCCTTCGAGAGGAACGTAGAGGGAGTCAGTTCCTGGGAACTCGGCTTGTGACAATATTCCTGCCTGGGGCTGCATATTCACAAGGGAAAAAAAAAAAACAAAACCTGAGGTGGTTCCCATACAGATCTGTCTGGTCTTTTTTGTCATCTTAGCCAGTACTGCTGGGGGTTAAAAGAAATTTTATAAGGAGGGAAGGATACGCTCACCCTATGCCCTCAAGGGCTGAGAAATAAAGGAGGCTGGGTGGCAGGACCGGGTTGTGCAGCGGGGTTGGGTTAAAACAAAGGAAAAGGTGGTCCCTTGGGTAGGGAATGGCCAAACGCCGTGGAGATTTGTAATGCGGACTGTGGCCTTGTCTGCGTGAGGGTGGTGGTGACAGTACAGCGTGAGCCTCGAAGCTGAACCAGGAGCCAGAGGTAGTGTGGATGTTTGCTCTCAAAGAGGAGCAGCTTACTCCTAGAAATAGTTTAACAAACCCTCTGTAAACTGTTGTGGTGGCAACCTGGAACTGTGGAAGCACCTGTCAGCGCCCATGCTAAGAAGTCAGTCATTGCTCATACAAATGTAATGTCCCTTTGCTCAAATACAGTCGGTCCCTGCTGCCTGTTGGCATTCGGTGGAAATCACTAGAGAAACGACTCTTGGCCTTATTTCCCCTGGACATGCAGCTGGAAGGCTGGACTGGGGGGGTGGTGGGTCTCCAGCTAATGAGGCTCTGAGCAGCCGAGAGTTCAACGTGTGCTCGTGATGCCGGGGGCACAAATGCTGCTGATGGTTTGGTTCTGCGAGAACAGGCGCTCAGCTCACGTTGGCCCAGGTTGGTCTCCAGTCTGATCACGGCCGTGGCGGTGCAGAACTCATCGCTTCCACCACGGCTTGGTGAAGAGCTGCCGCTCGGAAACCCAAGGCTGGACTGGGGCTGGGGAGCAAAGCTAGGTGTCGTGGTGTCCGGCGGATGGGACGAGACAAGCTTTGCAGGGTCCAGCCAAGTCTGGATGTGTTGCAAACGGGCCAGCAAGAACAAGGAGGAAACCTGTTTGACTGCCACGCTGCACTGAAGCGATGTGAGATGTTCCTGGCTGCAGAATGGCAGATGTCGCTTGGTACTCCTGCCACCTGAAGGAGGATGAAGTGGAGGAGAGGAGAGGAAATTCCTGATGGAATTCAGTGCCACAGAAGATCGTTGACTCAAACGTTCTGCGTGGCAACTGGATTTGGTGAAGGCACTGATAATTTCATGGCTGCTATTCGCATTTCCAGCCCCGCCAGATTTAGTAAATCCTGCTCTCTGGGCAGTGCTGGTGGGTGCAAGAGAGGACCTTCCCCCTACCCTGTATGTTATTTTGCCCAGGATTAGGCTGAGGTTTGTGGGCTGTCAGGCAGCTGTACTGCCCTGTAGCTGAAGGTGGGAGGTAAAGGTGCGGCCAGGACTGCCACGTTCACAGACCAGGGATGTTTGGAGTCCCCGTCAGCCAGGACTTCAGCTCCAAAAGCACAGCGAGGAGCTGTGCTGAGAAACCCGGCTTACCCCGAGTCCCTGACAACGTCTTTGCTCAGCGCCTTAAGCCCAGCTGAGAGCTGAGCCAGCCTAGTCTGTGGGGATGGCTGGGAGGTCGGAAGCGTTGGCTGGTGGCCAGGCAAAACTTCAGTTGCGCACAATTCCTTGAGACTTGTCTTCAAACTGTCTGTTCTCTCCTGTGATTTTAGTTGGCTGTTACTTTAAAAATGCCTGTGTTTTCTACAACTAGCAGAGTAACTAGCTGCATTCTCTCTGCATTACTTTTTCTGAGGTCTGCATAGAGATGGTGGAAACAGTCAGAGGTGGAAGCAGCTCGGGGCAGAGGATTGCTGAGGAGGGAACCCTGATGGGTTGGGCAGGATTGTGGCACGAGCCACCTTCCCAGCCGTGCTGCTCTTTGGCGTGAAGTGCCTGGCTTCTCCAATGTTTCATGTATGTGGTTTAATTAAAAAAAAAAAAAAAAAATCTGCAATGCAATCTGTGCTCTAATTTGAGGACACCATTTAGTGATTTTAATTGTGTGACAGTATTTTGGTATTTTCAATACCCAGTAGTAGGTTAATGACTGTTCCTTGAAGAATGGAGTTTATATAACACAAGTCATTACATAAGGAGGCTGATTGTGGCCTGAGGAACAGAAGGAAAACAAATATGCAAGAATGCAAAACCCAGAACAAGAAAACTCTACTTTGATGCTCCTGAGAAGCCTGAGATAGAAACGATACTTGGGTTCCAGCAAGGTGAAACTAACCTTGAGGACGTGGAGGTGAAGGCTCTGCACGACACGACGTGAGGAGCGTCAAACTGTGTGTTACCACGCATTTCCCACGTGGTGGCTGTAATCTCCTCTGCTCCTCTGGATCGCACGCTTTAACGTTCGAAAGAACAGCAAACAAACAAGCAAAAAGTTATTGGCTGGTCACTTGGTTTCTTTTATTTTCCCCAGAAGCTCCTAAATGTGGCCTGCGTTGGACTGACCCAATATCTCGGTGGAATTAAAACCGCGGGAGAACCCGAAGCACGACCTTTTGCTCGGACCTTAGATCTCAGACGGGACAGAGTCGCACGTGGTAATTCTCATTTTTCTCACAAGGAGTGAGCGGGTCTCCCGCCTCTGCATCACCCCGGCTTTTCTTAGGGGGCTGAGGCCGGGTAGGGGGGGGACTTGGCAGAGGTGGGGATTGCTCCCAGCTCAAAGATGGGCCGAGTGGCCCCCCCCCTGCCTGCATCCCTTGGGTGCTGCCCCCCCCCCGCCCGCCTC